CTTTTCCCCTCTACCCTCCTCCATTGAGTCATGAGCTCCGGGCTATAGAATATCCATGTTTGACAGTTCTGTCATGAATTGACACAGGGTCCCCACAGGTCCCCACAACACACATTGTTGACACTGACCCAGTTAGTTTTGCACCTCTCTGTCTATCACACTAGGCTGGGAGTCTCTGAAGGCAAGGTGGGCATCTCATTAATCCAGTATGCCAACATCGAACCATGGTCTGCCCATCATTCATAACATGGCAAGTGAATGAGCAAATTAGCCACGTTATTTCCAACATTTAAAGAAAAGGGTATTTAACTGTTTCCTTAAGTTACGTAAAGTATAAAAGCACATGCTGTTTACTAACACATCATTAACTATCTAGGATTCCAATAAATAAAGCCAGTTAACTGCAATTTGCCAGAATTGTGAGAAAATGTTTTCCCAAACCAAATGCCATCTATTTTTAAGTGAGTATTTTACAGTGATTTCAAAGACTTGAAAAGACTATAATCTCAAATGTACATAGGTATCACAGAAATCACTCACAAATTCTACTTCTAAAAAAAGAATTCTACATTCTTTGAAAAAATCAGAGAGCAGCTCATATAATATCAAAATAACAACTCCCACTTACTGCCAAGCACAATGCCCAGGGCTTTATAAGTGACCCCTACTTCTCACAATGACACTGTAAATAGAAGAAGCGTATAGAATTTAAACAAAGGGTGTATGGTCACGCAGCTGTACAGTAGTATCCTGTCAATGCATTTATAAACTGCCTGCTTTACCCCACAAAACATTTCTATTAAACAGCGGTTGTTACTAAATTCAGAATTATAACCTTAAATGATTTGCAAAACCATTGTAGGTAAACATCCTATCAGTTGGAACAGTCTCATAAAATAAAAATAAGGGATGTTTCAAATGATCTTCGCATCTTCCCACCTCATGTATAAGAGCTATGAGAAGCGGAAGTTACCGTCTACAAATTTCTTGAAGAAAATGTAGTACAACGAAAATGTCCCTTTGCCAAATTACGGGTGTATAAGGTTAAAAAAGAAAAAGCTACAGAATCACTGTCTGGCTGAAAAAAAAAGACAGACATTGGGAACGGTATTCATTTCCAGAGACTGATCCCAAATCGACTATAAGGAATGATGTCATCCTCCAGCTCCTCAAGACACTACCGCCAGAAGCTGGAGGAATCCAGATGTCAGGGCGCGCAACAGAAAGTCCACGGCTGCACGTGATCGGCAAGCGAAGTCTTTTTCAAGGGCTATGAGTCTCGTCTGTGTTGCCCCAACAATGAGCAGGAGACAAGCTGACACAAGGAGGCCACTTTGGCTTCTGTCCACCCAGAAGACTCATTGGAGCAACTGGTGCTCTAAAACAGGGCTTGGCAACCTTTTTCTGTAAAGGGCCAGACACCACTCACCTCTGCTGACGTGGCCCGAAAGCTGCCACAGGCGAGAGGTAAACAAATGAGTGTGGCTGTGTTCCAATAAAACTTTATTTACAAAAGTGGGCAGGGAGCCGGATTTGGCCCAGGAAATGTAGTTTGCCATCTCCTGCACAAGAAGGACAGGTTCCAGGCCTGAAGGCTCAGAGATACAGAATGAGCCAAAATAAGCAACAGAGATACAAAATGGAGCCAAAAGAAGCAACCTATGAAACCTGGGGCTGGGACAGAGTTTATGAAATTACTCTAAAAACGGAAGATGGGAAATGAGGAGCCATTCTGTAGGAATTCTGTTGTCCCAATCTCCACTGGCAAGTTGAGTCTCTGGAGGGCAGGATCACAAGGATAGTTTCTACGATGTTGTACTTCTAACACAAGCATATATGTTTTCAATCCATAAATCAGGGGAAAAAAATCATAAAAGTAAAAAATATTTGGAAATTCTACAGTAATCTTAACAACCTATACCAAATTTACATACAAGCGTTTCATTCCTAAAGCACAGTTTAACATTTTGTTCAGATGTTTGGACCTGAATTCATTTTATTTTCTGTTTTTTGCATTTTTCTGAAGGATAATAAATGTTGTTCTTCTCTACCATAGTTCTTGTAATAGGTACACATAACCCCTTTTGCAAAACCCTGGAGGCTAGATGCAGTTGGCGATTAAGAATTTTTTGGACTTGAGAAAGATAATGCAGGGTTTGGGGTGGCCCAGTAATCTAGCCCATCTAGGGCACAGTCAGATTCTGCCTTGACATGAGAAATGATTTTTTCAAGAAAAAACAAGAAGTTGTTCTTCTCGGTTTGGAGCTTTTTGGATTTTAAAATTGCAGACAACAGGCTGTAGGCCTCCATTTATAAAACCCCCAGAGGTCTCTCACTACTAGTAGACTAAAATCTCAACTGCTCCCCCAGCTCGTCAGGCCAGGCATTTCCTCTGCCCACCCTCTGCACAGCGCGCCCCGCTCATTCCTGCCTGGGTGCCACTCCAGCTCCGGACACTTCTCAGGAAGGCCTTCCTGCCCTCCTGGGCTCTCTCCCCCACTGTCCTATTTTATTTGCTTCAGAATTATTACCATTATTCCCAATTATCTTATTTGCCAGTCGTCCCACATCTACCTCCCCCAGGAGGACACATAAGCCCCAGGATCTGTCTGCCTGATGCAAAGCTGCCTCCCTAGCACCAACACTGTGTCTGGCACCTGGTGTGCTTAATCAATAACCCTGGACTGGGGGTCTGATGTGGCTGGCCCCATGCTGGGAAATTTCTATGCATTTCCTTCAATCCCCATACAACTCTAACACCATTAACCCTGCTTTACCAACAGAAAAACTGAGGGACAGGAAAGTTATGTGATTCTCCCAAGGCCACAGAACTACGAGATCATCACATTTAAAGGAACAACCTAAGTCTTAAAAGAAGCGGTTCATCCCCTTCTCCACCAGCCCCCGCCCTCCACAGGCCAATCTGTTGCCTCTGTCACTAAGCAGAAAGCAGGATAATTAAATGCACACACTAATTTTGGTGCTTCTGTGTACATAAAAAAGTTTACATATCAGCAACTCATTGACTGACCGTATCTAATCCAAGCCACGGCTATTAGTGAACACTTACATTAAGAAAATTATTTGTATGTTGAAGATCTCAAGAAGAAATTCTTCTCTATGAAAACTTGGAGATGTATCCAATTGCTGTAACTGGAGATTGCTCAAGACTAGAACTCATTGTAAATCATCCCATTTTCTCAGAAATTCTGGAACTGTCATCTAATTTTCCAGGAACAGAGGATAAATGCTGCCAAGTCTAGCTGCTGGAATTTTACAAGAATGAGACAGTGCCTTCAAAAGCCACTGAATGGCACGACTGAGCATTCCTCAAAGGGTTACAGAGTATGGCTGGGAGTACCCACCGTTCGCCCAAAGCACCTGAAGAATAGCTTCTGAAGAGCAGCCTTGGGTACCCGGGGCAGCAATGACAAACAGCGAACACGTCATAAAGTAAGGCACTGGCTTCAGTTGGCGTTTCTGCCATCTATATATGGACCAGCAAAAATCCAAGATGCCAGTGGGAGTGAGGGAAAACTAAGAGGGCTTTTGTGGGGTCACCCTTCCCTAGGTCACATCTGGCCTTTAAGGTCTGCTCTGTACCCAACTGAAGATGACACTATTCAACTAACTTTCAGAGGGACCCCCAGGGAAGGTTTCTTTGTAGTTCACGGATCCCGTTCTCCTGGGAGTCATGGTGCGAAGTGTGAGGCAGCAGGCTGGGGTGAGAGGCGCACTCCAGGACCAGACAACCGGCCAAAGCTAAGTGGCCACGTGAGAATTGGACCCATGACCCTCGATACAGCACAGAGCTTTAATCAGCGGGGTAAGGCAACCAGGGCCTCTTTAAGAACAAGCAAATAATCCTGCAGGAGGCAGAGGGCGATAGCTGGAGTAGAGCTCACCCACTAATCAGGCCTGCAGGTCACTAGAAACCTTCACAGTTCTGCTAAGGTTTCAGCCCACTTTTCTCGCTTAAAACCAATTTTGGCTTTGTCTCAAATTCAATGATTACAATGAATGGTATTCCTAATCTTCAGCCTTTCTTCGAAGGTTTGTTTCACTTTGATACCAAAAAAGTTAAAAAGCATTTAATTAAAAAACTTAAATGCTTTCTTCTGCAGCTGTGATTCTATAGGCAAATCTTCTTCACTGTAGCTAAAAAGAGATTTCACAGATCAAGAGAGAAATAAGTTCAAAGAAGTGTAAAAATCTGATCAAGGGTGGAGCATATGGAAGGACTTCAAAACCTGGGACTCCTGCCGGATAAACAGAGACCCAGAGAGAGGCGGGACAAGTACTTAAATGATGAGGGATTGACAAGGATAAAGCAAGAGTCACTTGTCAAATCCAAAGAATCAAGGACCACTCCTTGAAATGTTTCCCTCTACACTGTAAAGTAAAAGTTCAAACGAAAATCTGTTTCAGATGATGGAAACTTGTCTAGCAGCCCAGGAAGAAGAGCTAGAAACTGTAGGAACAGAGATGAACTTGCTCCCCCTCAAAACCCCACCTAATGCCGTCAGGGTGGGGGGAAAAGCAGCCAATCTGGAGAAAGGACTCCATTGACGAAAGGCAAGTGACAGCTAGGCCAAGAAGCCACCCACTAAGAAACCTTTTTCTTCCCCACTTTCTTGCCCTGTAAGCTCATGTCTCCACTTGAACATCCCAATATTCACCATCATTCCTACGTGCCATCTGGAGTTTTAGGGCCCAGCAGGTGACAACACAGTACCTGCTTCACTGCAGGCAAGTTTGCACTACAATGAAAAAGGATGCCATGGTCAAAGAGGACACAATGACGAGATCTTCCAAAGGAAGGCAAGAACATGCAGAACGTGCCTGCTCTTTTACACCACAGGACGCACGAACAGCCCCAGTTCAGGCATTTCCCTCTTGACCTGCTAGTAATGGAACGGTTCAAGGTTATTACCTACATTTGTGCTGTGGCCCTCGGCCAACACCATTAGCCAGAATCAGACACCCATGCTCACCCATACCTGGTAGTACGGATGGTGCAAAAAGGAATCTGGGCAGCCAGCTAAAGCCATTGGTTCCTTCTTGCCTTCTTCAAATTACATTTACTGCACTGCAGCACCTGGAATAAAGACAGACAGTAAGAAGCCAAGCCAGAGAAAAAATTCACTGCTTACAACTTGTTCAAGAGTGACGTGTCTAAGTGGGTAACCCTTGGACACCACTTGTAGGTTTGGTTCAGATGTCTTCTCAAGGGCTACCAGCTTTTCTTCCAACACGAAGAGATTATCACCAACTACAGAGCCTTGAGAAGCCATCTGTGCAGTCACAGGGTCTGTGGGGCACAGGGGCACTTAGAGGGGTGAGCGTGACATCATCCCACAGAATCCAACTCACATTCTTAGCAGTTCCCATGAATCACCTGAAATCCCAAAGTTTATCATACTTTGTGAAATATGAATTTAGACTAATTCCAAGGAAGTGCTGACGGGGTATGTGTGTGTTGTTGGGGTCCTCTGAGTACCACTTGTGTAGATGCTGGCTCTACTGGCCACGGCCAAGAACAAACTACAGTTCTCAGTGGGCACCAAACCATGACATATGGATTCAACGCTCTTCCTGCACGCCACAGTTTTGTAACTACAGTAGTCCTATCTTATCCTCAGTTTCAGTTACCCGCAGTCAACAGCAGTCTGAAAACATTACATGGAAAATTCCAGAAATAAACAATTCAGAAGTTTTAAATTGCGTGCTGTTCTGAGTGGCGTGATGAAATCTCTCACCATCCCGCTCCATCCTGCCCAGGAAATGACTCATTTCTTTGTCCAGCGGATCCACACTGTATATGCTACCCGCCCGTTAGTCACTTAGTCACTTCGCAGCCATCTCAGTTATCAGATCAACTGCCGGTATCACAGTCCTGTGTTCAAGTCACCCTTACTTACTTAATAATGGCCCAAAGTGCAAGAGTAGGGATGCTGGCAATTCGACTATGTCAAAGAGAAGCCGTGAAAAGGTGAAAGTTCTTGACTTAATAAGGAAAGAAAAAAAATTGTATGCTGAGGTTGCTAAGATCCACAGTACCTTTTATTACAGTATATTGTTATAATTGTTCTATTTTATTATTAGTTATTGTTGTTAATCTCTTACTGTGCCTAATTTATAAATTAAACTATCATAGGTATGTATGTATAGGAAAAAACAAGCATACATAAGGGTTTGGTACTATCTGTGGTTTCAGCCATCCACCGGGGGTCCCCGAGGAGGGGGGACCATCGTACAACCTTCGAGAACAACAGTGACACCTTCCTGACTCCTACGTGAGCTGCAAATAACATTAGCTACATGAAAATGCACATTTGGGTCCTACAATGAGCTCCTAATAAGCAGGAAACAGAGATCTTGTCTTTCTCTTCTTTTATCGACTGTGGCACAAACCACACACCTGATGCACACAAAGCGGCCGTGCAAGTCTCGCAGCAGACGCTGATGCAGCGCCCCCACCCCCTCCCCCCGCGACGCAGAGGACTTGGGGGGGGCGGCAATCAGCAGCTTGGCCCGGACTCTGCCTGGGAACACAAAAAACTGCTCTGCCACACTACTCGCAAACAAGAGACTACCTATGAAGTGAACTTCTCTAAGATATGTCTTTCCTGCTAAATCTTAGCAGAAATGAAGAGTTTCATCCCCTTGAGGACAGAAGACTCTATTACAAGCCACACTTTGGAATGCAGTGGGTGGATTCCAGGAAGAGAGAGGAACCAGTGTCAGAAATCATTAGAGATAAAAACATTTTCATGAACAAGCAACTAACATTCTCTGTCCTAATCAATCCCAGAGGTGCCAGGGACCCTCGGCTCCTCCCCAGCCCAGAGACCCTGAATAATTCATAATTCCTGGCAATGTGAGGCTTTCTTGGGCCCCTTTACCTGGAGGTGTTGTTCCAGCTCCATCACCAGCGAACTCTTAGCGCCTTTAGGACTGAGCTCAGGGATCACCTCCTCCAGAAAGCCCCCTCAGACTGCCCCTCGCCACACACCACCACCCAAGACGGCTCAGTCAGTGTCCCCTCTGGGCTCGTGGGCCACACCCTGGGCTTACATCCATCCTTCCATCTGCCACACTGAACTGTAAATGCTTCTTCTTGGTCTCACTCCCCTCAAATAAACAGTGCACTCACTGGTGGCAGAGGCTCTCGCCCCCACGCCTGACTTTCAGTAAATTCTGTTGGAGAGACACTGCCTGATTCTGCGAGGCCCCTGCTTTGCTGGACTCTCTGCCTCCGGATCCAAGCAGGATGGCTTTCACGAAGCGGGCTCCAGTGGTCATCGGGGTCACCCAGAGCAGGGAGAAAACAACAAAACTCCAAGAGGGCCACCCCCCCACATCCAGGGGCCGCCTAGGTGGGACCCACCGCCTCCCCCACCTCTCCCCGCGGCAGAGGCCCAGGGATAGGCAGGTGCCTGGCGTTCCAGGGCACAGCTCCCCTCCGAGGCTGCGTTTCAGAGGAGCAACAACAGCGAACGGCGACAAGACCCTCCATGAGGAGGGAACAGGGAAAAGGAGCTTTGAGACTATTTCCCACTCTTACACTTCCCGTATTCAGCCCTGGAAGGGTCTATTTCCCTGAAGTAGTTTTACTATGAGGAAAATAAGAAAAGTTTAGAAAGTGGTTCATTTCTCTCAATGAAAGAAAGGCAAACCAGGAAGAAAAGAGAATGGAAGAAACAATACAGGCAAGAAACTACCCAGGACAAAGTACACTGGATGCTGGGAGCCATCAAATCAGAATCCATACTGCAGAAAACTCAATCCATGGGCGAGACGGAAACACTGAAAATAGCCCACAGAGAGAATGAGCCAGATCTAGCAATACAACAGTGACCCGGGGGCCAGAGGTGAGGAGGAGAGAGCTCAGGATGCAGAGAGCAAAGGTCAGCTGTGAGGGAGCACAGGCGGCCGGCCTGACAAGGGGCAGAAGTCGTCCAAGGCCAGGGCTCCTCACACGTGAGACACCTGCAGCAAAGTCGAGACTCCCATCTGGTCACAGGCTGACCTTTTCAGAATCCCAAAATAAAAGCCTCACGGAAGCTTCCCACAGGAACACTGAAAGACTTAGGTAGCACAGCAGGACATAAATTAAGGATACTAATTCCACCAATCAAAATACAAAAAAATCAAGATAGGACCCTGTATGGGCTGAACTGTGTCCCTCCTCAAATTCGTATATTAAAGCCCTAACACGCAGTACCTCAGCATGTGGCCGTATTTGGAGGCAGGGTCTTTAAAAAGGTGATTAAGTTAAAATGCGGTATTAGTGCAGGCCCTAAGCCAATATAAGAGATTAAGACACAGATACACACAGAGGGAAGACCATGGGAAGACACAGGGAGGAGACGGCCATCTACAAGCCAAGGAGAGAGGTCTCAGGAGAAACCAACCCTGCTGACACCTTGATCTCAGACTTCTGGCCTCCAGAACCGTGAGAAAATAAATTTCTGTTGTTTAAGCTGACCATTCAGTGGTACTTTGTTATAGTGGTCCTAGAAAAGTAATACAGACCCAGAATACTAAAACACTACTAAATTGTCCTTATAGCTCAAAGGAACAGAAGCGTCCTAAATCAGTAACATTTACTACCAACCAATTATGTTTTTTGCAAGTGTCTCTCTAGGATCCTTTATATCACCAGTACAGAAATGAAACAACAATCCGTAATAGGCCACTGGGCTGAAAAGAACTGATGATGAGCAATGGAAGTGCTAACAAGATGCTGGGGAGTGCTCCATGCTTCAACTTTCCAGCCCCTATACTGAGACAGGGTATGGCTGGTAACCTCCTCCAGCCTCTGGCAAGACCAGCAGTCCCCTGGCCTTCAAACTTCTCTAGCGCATAAGTCAACTTTGCCCCTGTGGTACTTAGTCTCATGTGTCAATCTGTCCAGGCCCTGGTACCCAGCCATTTAATCAAACACTAATCTGGGGGTTGCTCTGAAGGCATTCTGCAGGAGTAATTAACATCTGCAATCACTGGACTTGAAGTAAAGGCAGTTACTCTCTAGAAAAAGGGTGGGCCTCATCCAATCTGTTGAAGGCCCAAAGAGCAACAATTCAAGTTTCTCAGAGAAGAAGGAGTTTGGCCTCAAAACTGCAACAAACTCCTGCCTGAGTTTCCAGGCTGCCGGCTGGCCCCACAGATTTCAGACTTGTCAGCCCCCATAATCGTATGACCCAATTCCTTAAAATAAATCTCTTTATATAAACATACACATGTTCTCTTTCACTGGCGAACCCTGACTTATACACCCCAACCAACTGCTGCAAGATCCCAGGACCACACTGTGATGCCTCCTGCAGGCCTCCCCACACCACAAACACACCTCCACACGGGTGTGACAGCTCTGCACAGACCACCTCCCAGCCCCTTCTCCTTCCACCTTCCACCCTAACTACAGCCTCGCCTTCCAGGGGATGCTATTTCTCTCCCCTTCACCTACCTCCCTGAGGGTGTGGCGGGGGGCATAGTGTCCTCTGGGCTCTTTACTACTGCAGAGAACAGTTCCTCCTGGTCCCTTAAGGACCCTCTTCGAGTCCCTACCATCAGGCTGTCCCATGCCCCACGCCTCCTTCTGCTGTCACTCCCCTCTTTCCCCCGGCTCACTCCATGCATGCTGCCTGCCCTCACTTGTATATCCCCTGGAACTCTTGGATGTGTTTAACATTTGGAAATATATTACGATCCCCCTGAAGTTTCAAACTTAATGGGTGTTAAGAGTGCTGAAAATATCACTTAAATATGCCAGTTTCATTACCTAAATATCACCTTTGAAAGTATTTGCCAAATGAGATTGCTTCTCAGCCAGAAAAATATACATCCCATAAGCCGTGTTGAGTAGGTTCCTTTGGGACAAGAAAACTATAGTTAGAAACAGTAAGAGGATTGGATTAACCCTGGTCTCTAATAAAATGTATCCAACCCAAAGCTAACATCATACTCAATGGTGAAAGATGGAAAGCTTTTCCCCTAAGGTCAGAAACAAGGTAAGGATGCTCGTTTTCACGCATTCTACTCAATATAGTATTGGAAGTTCTAGCCAGAGCAATCAGGCAAGAAAAAGAAATA